GACGTGCGCTCCTCCTCGTCCTCGTTCGCGTCCCCCGCCTCGACCTCCGCGCCCGCTTTGCCGCACCCGCTCGCCGAGCCCCCGGCGGGGCCGCCGCCGCCGCAGACCCAGAGCCACGCCCACTCGCAGCACTATCGCCTGTTGAAGTCCGAGAGCATGCCTGTCCATCTGGGTAAAGGTACGCAACGGAACGTAACGCGGGCCTCCTGCTGGGCGACGAGGCGAATGAGCTCAGCTTGACTATCGTGTTTGTTAGATGCGGTTTCAGGTGGCGATTCTCGGGTCCCACCGCAGGCTGACGCTCAAGGTAAACCACAACCACTCGTGCGCCTCCTTGTCTGTGCTCATGTCTTTGCATGCGGGACAAATTTCACAAGTCGGGGGGGATGCTTTCCCAGGACCTGCAGCGTTGCACTAACAAACGCCGTCCAGCAGAGGGAGATGGCAGACAGCCTGAGTAAGCCGTAAGGAGGGGCACTTTGCTCTGATATGTCTTGGCCTGATCTCCCTTTTCTGGATGTGATTCTTAACCGTAATCACAAATCGGAAGCAGGCAAGCGCAATTTGCATAAACGGAGAGGTTCTGGCAAGCGGGATCGCTTATGATAGGTCGTATTTCACGTGACGAGACTTTTGCTTCAGCTCCAGGGGCTTCGGAGTTGATTGGAATTCAGTGTTTGGGGCTCCTGAAAGTCAGCAGTTATTCCGACGTGTGGTTTATTGACAGTCTGATACTATTTTGTGGAGGCAAGGAGGTGTTTTGGTCTTCTCATCCGACGCGATCTTGTGTTTTATTGCAGGGGAAACGCTTCTATTTGATAGTTCCTTTTAAGGCCAAAGTTTTGTTCTTTACGGGGTGTCCGTGTACACTAACTGAACACTTCACAAGGTCTAGTCGTCATTTATGTCGTGTGTTTAACAACGTGGGAGGTTTACAAATGGCAAGTTCTGGGACGCACTTTCCATTGTAAATTATTCAAATCCTGTCATTTGAAATGGAGGGTGGAGGGAGTTCACACCCCACACCCTTCATTAACTCCATCCTCCATTAAAGACAAACACTAATACAAAATAATGACGGTCTTGAGTTTCCTCTCTGCTAATGACACTTCATCTCTTCTCTCAGGCCAAAGCTCCAAGAGGCTCAGCTCCTCTCCCAGCATTGAAAACCTCAGCGGCAGGCCACGTCAGTCCTCCTCCTCGCCGCCCCTGCCGTTCTCCAGGGGCGAAAGCGATTTGAGCGCCTCGTCGCCACCCCTCTCCAGCGCCAAGAAAGAGTCGTTTTTCCACATCACTCGCTCGCGTTCCCATAGCAAGACCATGTCCAGGAAGGAGACGGTGAGATAAGCTCTGTCCCTCACATCGCCCCTTATTCATCTCCTCATTGTTATTATTATTATTTTGACTGGTGACAGGAGGAGGATTTGGAGGCCCAGGTGTCGTTCTTGCAGGGACAGATCAACGACCTGGAGGCCATGAGCAAATACTGTGCCAAGATGATGAACAGCCACATCTGTAAGTCCGGCAGCAGAGTCTCCACCGCACAACTGAAACATTTCATTGAGTGCTTTCACAAAAGCAGGACACACATGTATCGTTTTTTTAACATATGACCTTAAGACAGCATTCCTGGCATGAAAAAAAAATAAAAAATCATACTATGTTCCTACTTAAGCAGGATTTCGTCACCACCCAAGCAGTTGCTTCTCTACTTGTCACACTCGTCAACTTCAGGTTGCTTCTAAATTGGCCGTGGTTCCGTTTCACGTTCCACTCGCCGAGTCTGTGGCTCGTCCGACCTCGGTGTTGACTGCAATCATAAAGATTTAGTATCAGAAATGACGGTGGGGTTCCCATGAGAGGAAAATCACTCTTAACACACTCCACACCACAGGATAATCTTTTGACATTTGAGAATTTGTCCGTTTCTGTTTTAGATGACACTGGAGGGGAAATGTTCGAATTGGGCCCAACTTTTAATATGTATATACAACATTGGCGACGCTGCTTTAGTGGAATTCTGTCTCCTCAGGTAAAATTCAGGAAGTGATTTTGCAAGAGCACTTGGAAAAAGAGGACGAGGTGCTCGTTTCACTGGCGGGGCTCAAACAGGTAAGCCGCCGACGTTTGCGTGGCCGCTGCACACCCCGAGCGACCACGTGAAAGTCTTTGTACCTCGCTCGCCGTCAGATTAAAGACATCCTCAAGGGGGCGCTGCGCTTCAACCAGAGTCAGTTGGAGGCCGAGGAGAACGAGGAGATCAACATTGCAGACAACCACTACACCTCAGCAGCGGAACCCGATTTCGGAGCTCCCGGCGGGCGCCGCGGCAATCAGCGGCCGCAAGTTGGCAGGCCAAGGCGAGGCCCCGGCGGAGACGGCGGCAAGATGGTGGATGATGATGAGCAGCAACAGCAGCAGGAGGAGGAGGAGCAAACCATGACGCCGCACGAGGTTCATTGGCGATGACACGACTTAATGAATGATGTGTATTGGAATTAAATTCAGACTGCAATAATTCAAATTTGTCTCACTGTTTGACGTTGTCGTCTCATTTTGTACGTCCTCGGTTCTAATAGAGGGCAAATAGACGCTTAAGTCTCTTGACGGGATTAACTGCCCCGTAGAGACAAAAACAATAGTGATATTTGGCTTTTGGATGAACAATTTTCTGTGCTTCCATGGAACTGGATGGCCATGTAGCTTTGGCCTGAATACCGAAACAATAAATAAGTGAGTTTTCAACAAATAACGGTATTGCTTCACCAAAAAAAAACAATAAAACAAATTAGTCAATGTCCAACCGCGAATATGCAGCGGTTCACTGTTGTGCGCTTTTGGTTCATCCTGGATTTCACCAGAAAGCTGAGTTTCCCGAACTTTTTGTCAGCAGTGTCTACTAACTTTAAAAAGAGTACATTTAAGTTTGGTGTATTCTTCATTCAAGGGGTAGATGCATATAATACGGCCATAGACAACTGATTTTTGTACAACTCATTGTGCTATTTCTTTTAACAAATTTGACAAACGTGATTTCCCCCCCCAACACTGCATACCCCCCCCCTATAAATGCATCGTTTTTTACAATTAAACCATGTCAAAACACATCCCAGTCAAAAGTAGACCGTGTAGAATTTCACTTTTTTTTTTTTTTTTTCTCTCCCCCAACTGAGTCCACTAAAATAAAAATGGCAGACTGTACTCTCGTGCGCAGGTGGAGTCCATGGGCTCGGAAGCTAGGAACTGGGAAGACTACATCCTCGTATCCCAGAACGGAGACCTGCAGGGCGCGGACGGAGGCAGGGCCGCATCGGAGCGCAGCCCTCCCATCAGGCGAGGCCGCGGCTTGGTTCGCATGGAGCCCGAAGGAGCCGCCGGGACCTTCAACGACCCCCTGTCGGGACCCGCTGCCTCGGGCTCGTCCAGCCCGGATGAAGGCTCAACCACAAGCAAGGACTCGGACTTCACCATCGTCAACCCCAGTGATTTTTGAACAAGTAAACCGCATCTGCCTACTCGCCCTCTTTTACCCGATGTCTTTGCAAGGTTGCCATAATAAACAAATGACTTGGAATCAGAGAGGGGGAGCGAAGGGAGGGGGAGGGGCTTTTTGAGAAGCTGCTATCCTTTTAAAAGTTGGATGTGTAGACTGTGACGTGGAGAGGCAGCCTTTCCCGAAAACATTGCTTCAGTACTGTTTTAAGCCCATGCAGAATCCAGTGGTACCTTGACTTGATTAACTTTCTCCGTTGTAATGAACGGAGGTGCCATTAATCCTTTCCATCTCCCAAAAAGCACTTTTTTTACCCCCCTGGAATTTGTTTGTAAAACTCATTCAGTACTTGCCAATTCTAGACCCAAGTCTGAAAAGACGTTTAACGTCTTTGGGAGTGAATGAGTTAAAATTAATAATATAGCCATATGCAGTACTGTGCTATGTAAAAATAGACCTAATAACATCATAGAATTAAAAAAAATGTGCTCCATTTTTATCACTTCACTTTCACAACTAAATTTTCTTCACTGTCCCCCCCCTTTCTCCCCGCTTTCTTCTGCCCATCACATCACCCCTCCCCCAAAAAAGATTTCCTCACTTTTCACCTGTCATTTTGACACCCTCTATCGACTCATTATCACTCACCTACTTGGGATCCAGAGTTGGGGGGGAGAAAAGATTTGGCGCGATAATGCACCAAAAAATGCAAAATACTAAAGACTCGGCCTATTTTTGAATTTTTTTTTTTTTTCTTCAACACATGATCACCAAATTACAACTGAAGACAAAAAATGATTTTCAAACATACCCCACCAATTTTCTGTGCTTCAAAGTTAAAGAAATACAAATGGACAAAGTCATGTAAAACAATCAAATGTCAATCATTTGTTGTTGTCAGCGTGAAGGGACCAAAAATATGTAAATTTATTCACTGTATGTTTTTAATCTTTTTTTTAAGTAATTGGCCAAATTAATTGGTTATCAGAATATTATTGTGACAAATATTGGCCTCGAATAATCCATGTCCCAAAGCAACAGACTCAAAGCGAAGTAAGCATGTGACCTGATGGTGGCCATTTGCTGCCATCTAGTGACAGAGTGTCTGAATGTCACAAAAAATTGCGCTGACAATTCTACGCAAAAAAAAAATATATATAAATATATATATATTTTTTTTTTACGCAAAGTTGTCAGTTGGGGAACTTGTAAGTCAAGGTACCACTGTACTCTCTCATCTGCCTGAAGGTGCAACGTCCTCTCATGGCACTTCATGTTTTGCTGTAGCCAAATCATGACTGCATGTTGTTGAGCTGCAATTTACACAATGCCAGGACCGTGTCCTCTTCAGACCTGATGAGCCTGATTCTTTGTGTCTTCTGTTCGTTATAATCTGGCTGCGTTATGTCTTTGCGTGTCCCTCTGGAGGACAATCGCGCTTCTGTTGTTCGGAACGAGGGTTGACGTCCTCCTCGTCGAGGACATCGTCCTCCTGCATCCTAAAACCAGTGCCTCTTAGCGTTTGTTCTCCTAACAAAACAATTTTACTGTGATCTTCATCCTTTTTTTTTTTTTGAAACACTCAAAACCCTCATTGGTTTACAATGATTTATGAAATGATGGAATATCTTTGTTAGTGATTCAAAGTGAAGCTTTTACAGAGGTGATGGTGTCCTGCGAAAACAAAAAGCAGTTCACACAACCACCTCCTTCCCCCAAATGCCCACTCAGCATTACTCACCGCAAATAAAAAACTGTCTCACCGCTGAAGTCACCGAGTTTGCGTAGTCAGCGATTTAGTTCATCAACGCAACGGTGGTTCAAGTGCTGAAGTAATTGGGAGTTGCCACAAGTTTTTCTTTTTGGTCTTGGGGATTATAATTGGTCAAATCTGTTCAAATTCAATTTTAAAAAATGCCACGTTTTATTCTAATTATTCATTTAGGTAATTGTGAATTAAAAAAAAAACCAAACAAAAAATCTGCTCATTTTAAAACTGGTTTATTTCCATCTCCATTGGTGAGGGAAGGTTCTCATGAACCGGAGCTGCACACTGACTGCACAGATGGGCCTGGAATGTTTCCACTTATGTAAAATACTCTTGACGGCAAAAGGAAAGAATAACATCTTATTAAAATACTGTACAATTATTTTGCACGCAAAAGGAAGCAGCACACAAGAGGCAAGACATTTTCACATGCGACGGGTTCATGTCATCACATCGGGTCAAAATATTGTGTGACGCAACCAATTGAGCTCGTTTTTTCGGCGACTTGATCAGAACACGTGAGGACACCACTTTGTATGGAAGGTGAAAACATGACAAAACGGCACCATAGATCCCCCCAAAAATAAATAAGTGGTTGTTTTGACATAACACGATATTGAAATCTTAATAGAAAATGTGAAATCTTCATGAAATAGTTCTCATTTTTTAATTTTGTAATGTAACTATATTTAACCAAGCATTTGTTAACTGCACAGTATATCTACAGTGATGCATAGATACAAGTGTGTTTGGCGACATTGGAGCCCATCATTGGGCGATGCTTTTGACAAAATTTGAAATACAAGGACTACGGGGGGGGGCTTCAAGCTCTTTCCTGCCGTCCCCAGTTGAAGTTTACTGTCAAACTAATGACAAAATAAAGAGAATTACACATTGTGTATTGACACAAACCACATCACTTTGCCTTAGTCTGCTAGCTTAATGCTGCTATCAAATAGGAGGGGCTAACGAATGGCATCAGTCAGGACATGAGCAAGATACGTGAACACGGTGCAGCAACACATTTTGACAGATAACACAATAAAGCATCTATTGATTATCCTCTGCGAAGACGTGTAACTAACTGCGGCTTACTGAGAAGCCGTGGCCATCTTCATGTATGAAGGTAGCCATGACACGCTAGCAGCAGCAGCACAATGTCCATTGAAATGGAACCAAAGGAATGAGGCCATGACGTTTTATTTCTTTACATTCTATTGAAGTCACTATGTTTTCTTATAAAGTACAATATTATAAGGTGCTATTTTTTAGTAAAAAGATGTTAGTTTTTTTGTTTTTTTGCAAGGCTGGAATTCATGGCATTTCCATTCATTTCAATGAAGCTAGAAGAGGTGATTTCAGAAGCCTTGACATTAACAAAAAAACATGTTAATGTGGTTTCAGTTTACCATTGTTATTTATTTTTACAAGTCAAACTATCGTGAGATAACGAACTAATAAATGAATATATTTTGATTCAAATTTAAGGGAACAAAAGGCTTACTTACACTATTAATAATGATACTACCGGATCATATATTGCCCACGCCTAGTCTGGCCCAACCTCTAGAAAGCCCATCGGGTGTATTTTATGTGCTCATATCCCACCTTTAAAACGTATTGCACAGCAGAAAAGGTCTCAAAAATATTCAGCCGTTTTCACAAATATGATCAACAGACTTCCTCTGAGAGAAGACGTGAACGGTGCACAATATCAAACGTTAAACGGGTGATTCCTTGGCGGCGAGCGGCAAGAGTAGTGTAGCGGACAGCAGTCGGGTCAAGTGTCTCATCGCTGGAATCGCTCGTCACACGCATTGGCGTTGTCGTGCTGGCTTTTCCGTGACTGGGAGCGCGCTCTTGTAACTCCTCGACTCTCCCGGGCGAGGTTTCCCGTCAGAGCGGCATCGTGCACCTGCTTCATGTTCTCCTCAACTTCAGCCTTGGCGTACGTGAGAAGATCAGCTTGACCCTGGGATAGACGGAAAGTCAAGAGTCAAGAATGTGAGCAAAAAAATAATTAAATCAGCAAAAGGCTATCAAATGCGGATTGGCGTTTGACTGTTTGCATTTCTGACCTTAAGGATGGTGATGTTCCAGGTGAAGCTCTCCACAGCTCGACCCGCCTTTCGCCCTTTCAGGCCCTCCTTCGCCGCCAGGCTCTGTAAATGCTCGTGGAATGTCATGGCTGTAAAAAAGGCAACTCCGAAAGGTTAGAACTTTTGCTCAAATCATCCTGAATGAAACGCAATTACACTGATGCACACAGAGCGTTTCCCAACCATTAGTGAGCCGAGTGGCATTTTTGACGAAGATGATTTTTTTTTTCTCAGCTAACCAGATCATGCAATTCTACCCTGAAATGAAATTATTAAAAAAAAGAACATTCACTATTTCATTGTTTTTGTGTGTTTACCGGAAAACTAAAATTTTATAAGATAGGATATCCTTTATTTAAGCTATGTTGAAGTGACGGGAGGAGCTTCATTTGCCTAGTGTAATGGGATTCAAGTTCTTTGGTGCCCCTTTGTGGCATTTTTAGGCACTGAATTATTCTTTTTTTGTACTGAAAGAATGACAACATCTCAATTTACCCCAAAATGTCCTTTCCCAGTATGAAATCTGGGCCCGTTCCCCTGACCACTGTCTAGTATGTGTGCTGTGAGTTGTATTGTGCATCTGGTTTCCTCTGGCCGCCCCAGGCCACCGTCCCACAGTTGCCATGGAAACAGAGAAGTGGGTTAACGTGGGGCGCACATTAAACCGTGAGCCATCAACAGGAGTCCAAATGTTACGCATGCGTACCAGTGGACCACACACACACACGCACACACACACACAATGAGGAATAAACATTTGGGGAGTATAATTTACCCGTTCTGCACACACGCACGGTGCACTGCTCCACATACTGTACATACTCCAGAAGTTGTCTGAATTCTAACCTTATGTCAGCGTTGCTAGACAACTCAAAGCCTATGGACCAGCCTCACATGTATATGTGTGTGTGATCGTTGCGCAGTACTGACAGAAGAGGGGATGAAATAGTACGGAAGCACATCCAGCATACACAGACCCGCGAGCCCAAAAATCGTCCAATCGGGTTACGGGTTATAGGTGGTCGAGAGATGAGGAAAATAAAACCAACTCAAGCAGGGCACATATTGACTATTCACACTCAAGATTCACACTTTTGGACAATTTCGTGTCTTAAATGAACTAACTATACATATTTAGCTGAATAGAGTTAAGATTTTGTGACCAGTGAGTGTACAGTGTTTGTCTACTGTGTTCGTATAACCCGTTAAACCACTACACCTGGATTACATCACCATAGTATCTGTTTATAACATTTAACTATAAACAACTGTTTACTTAGCACAGATCAGATCCACTTTTTTTTTCTACTCCCTTCTGTGAGCTTCATCGGTTTTATCTCTACTCCCTTGCAGCTCGCAGACATCCCGTGACTCCGCTCCGAGTGACCGTCGCCATGGGATTCCCTGATTGGCATCTTTAACGGCATGTACTTTCCGACCTCGGGCTCTGCTGCTTCTCACACAGCAGACATGCTCATACACAACCTTTCGTGTCTTTAAATATTGCCGTCTGGTCAAACGTTGCAAAAAGTACACGAGCCATCATGCAGTATACGCACGGGGAAGCTCAGAGGATGTAAACAAACGAATGTCACATGATTATGAAAGTGAACCTTAGGAGAGTTGGGGCCGGGGGCGGTGGATAAGTCGCTTGGGAGATTTTTGCTGATTTACAAGCTCGACATTCATCTCTGTCAAAGCTTTCTCTATTCAAACCAGCATGCATGTGAAACTCACCGACGCATAACAAATATATCTCACAAGAGGTCTTTTCTTTTACCCTTAAACTCATGATATGCTGTGTAATGGCCCTGTGCCGCTGACAAGTCTGGAGTCAGAATGCTGAAGTCAACAAAACTGCGCTGCGAGAAAATAGACAATACCGGGGGCGGGGGGGAGTATTGGAACACACTCGTGAAAAATCCTGGAAAATGAAAGCAAACATTTGTTTCGAAATACATGACAAAGGTTTGAAGATGAATCCTGAATCATGAATAATTACTATTATTAGTATTACCCCCCAGCACTTTATGAGCCGATCTGCACTTAGCTCGCTATGACTACAGGGCGAAAATTAATTTTCTCCTTCGATAGACAGCTGGCGCGGCCACTTTAGAGCGCCTCATTGTCGGCCGTGAGCATGCGCTCATCATGCAGACTAAGGAAGAAAAGCAATTGGGGGGGGTTGTTTTTGGGAGTCCAACTTGAAAGCTAGCATGTGAAATTCTTGCTGGCATACGTAACTGCTCTAGATCGTCTCGTTGGTTTGTTTTTTCACCATTTTGAAACCTTATTTTATATACTTTACATACCAATTTGACAGTATTGCCAACAATCTTTTTTCTTCTACAAGTAGATGATTTTTTTTTTTTTCACCGAATAGGCATAGCTAGCGAGCTCTGCAAGTGTGTCAAATTTATTTTCCAGTGATGTTAGGTTCCATAGCAAAATGTTAGATAAATTCCATGCTCCTAACTTTTTGTTCGAGGATGACTCTCCCCTAGTGGATTTAAAAACAAAGATTCATAAAGTTACGCAAAGATGAATTAGGGGTTTAAGACCTAACGCATTATTTTCACTCACCCGCAATCTTTATATGCAGAATCCTTTCATAGATTCCATCAGAGAGCTCGAACACGGCTTTGCTGGCCTGGACCATCTGCATACGCCCAACACACAGAGATGTCCCGTTAAGAACATGGCAATGTATATTTCCAATGCAGTCTTAAAAAAAAAAAAAGCTTTTGCAGGCATCTGTGGTAATTAAAAGAATGAACATGCCAGATTAGAGTCATGCTTCCACAGATAGACACATGCAGACAGCGGAGGAATCCGAGGAGACCAATTGAACCACTCAGTTAGAGTAATGACCACACACGCGGCGCACGATAATGACATTACTTGCCTCTGGCTGATTAATGCTAGGCGTTGCCGTGTGAAGCCTGAAGGGATGTGATCCCCGCTGTTTAACAAACTAATGATCAACGCACACACAATACATCCAGTTGAGGATGGAGGTGTGAAGATCTATTTCGTCAAACCGTAGTCAAACCTATGCTGATGAGATTCAGCACCGTCATGATCTTTTTTTCAACTCGAGGGGTGGGCTTGATTCAAAGTGAAAGTGACTCCAAATATGCGCACACTCGCTCGCCGTAACACACGCGTCCGTTTCGACTCAAACGGCAGTGACAAACAATTGTCATTCAATTACGTCGGTGCACCAAAGCCTTCTTGAGAATTTAACAAGACAAGATATGTGTACTTTGTACATTCAGCGTTCCAGCCGCATTAGACCCACGAGTCGGTCTAATATTCAGCAGAATGGCTGAGTGCAAGTGCACATCTGCGTGGAGTCATCCTTTATGTGGGTCAGCCACAGTTGAAGCAGGCCCGCGGGGAAAAAGGAGGAAAGGGCAGGAACTGTGTAGGTTGCAGGGTGAACGAGTGGGAAAAATTAAAAGCAAAATGAGGAGCCATTCATCCATTTTCTATGGTGCTTGTGCTCATCAGTCACAGGTGAGGTGGAGCTTATCTTGGAACGTGAGGGAAAGCCAGAGTACCCAAAGGGAAACCCAAACAAGCAACGTGGACCAAGACTGGATTCAGGATTCGAAACCCTGCATGGCAGACGTGCTGTTACTTCACCATGCTGCAAAACGTTGACCCATATGATGAATGGAAAATCAAATTCAAGAGATCCCACGGAACTGTACCACGCCGGAACAACGGGGCACTCTGTTGCGACCATGCCAGCGGACCAGCCGAGGCTCTCGGACCCATTTTAGCCTCAGATATGTTTACAAAAATAAAACCAACGAAATGACTTCCGGCTGGGTCTATGAATGTCCTGCCTTTATTCGGATGAAAGTATACCGGATTCGGGCCAAGTTTGGAAATCAAGCACATTTTTGCATAACAACCAGTGTCAGTTTGTTATTTGAGGGGGGTGGAATATGTACTCAAAAGGAAGCTCTGTCTTCACACGGGGTGTTCATTGTTGTGTGAAGCAGACAGGAAGATGGGCGGTGGCGGCTTAGTAATCTTTGTGGCTTTTGTGTCGTGTTTCCTTCCTTTCCGTGCACTTCAGAGATATGTTGTGTATCTGAGGGCGGGGGGGACAATAAGCATATTTACTGTCAGCTCTTTTCCTTCCTCACCATGTCGTATGTGGAGACAACGCGGCGAAGGACATCAGGCAGGGCTCCCTGAGGCTCCAAGGTGGGGTAGTGCTTCTGGAGGTCAAACAGTAGTAAAGGGATCCCATCGGGTCCTCTCACTCTGGAGCCAAGAGCGAGTATGCACTGCATGAGGTTGGACACAGCCGACACCCCGCACAACTCCCGAAACATCGCCACAGAATTCTGTTGGGGAAAACAAAATGCCAAATGTTGAGGAGAAATGTAATATAGCCGATAAATGTACTGCGGGATTTCGGACACCCTCACCTGCATGTTTTCCCTCAAGTCCGTGGCCTCTCTCAACAGAGGACCAGCCATTTTGAAAACCTCATCAACGACCCGGATTTCCAAGTCCCGTAGAGCCGTGTAGTCCCGTCTCCTGCGAGCTTTTCGCACAGACAGGCCCCTTTTGTGAGGCTTGCCCCCGCCTCTACGATTGGTGAGGGCCACATGGACGAAAAGCTTGGCGTGGGGAAGATCCTCCCCGGTCAGAGACTGAAGCGGGACGTGACGGTACCCGGGTTGGACACACTCCAGCGGGATGGTGTACTGACCTGTGACAGAAGTTTTTTTTTTTTTTAATACCACACTTAAAACTCATTCAGTACCAGCCAATTCTGGACCAAGTCTGAAAAGACGTTTAAAAACGTCTTTGGGAGTGAATGAGTTAAGATGCAGATTATGAATGAACGATAGGCACCCGTCTAAGTCCAAAAGAAATTGACTGCTGCTCACTGAAAGATGCCAAAAATTGGTTCAAGGTTTAGTTTTGTCCAAAAGTTGTACAGATGTGATCGCAAGACTGCCTTGTGTCAAAGTAGCTACTTCTTCAGGGACAGACTTGGAACCAAACCTCCCATCAGTGAGTTTGTGGAAGACATTTTCTGACGAGTATGACTGAAGAATTAGTCAGATTGTTTTGAGAGTGAAAGTTAGCAAAAGATAATGGCTAGCTAACGTCGAGTTTACGGCTGGAAGGTATCGAGCCACTCGAAAATACACATGACCTCATTGTGAAAAGGTCTGTCAGAAATAAATGAACCCAATCTGACTGAACCGACCTATGAACTCATCTCCGATGAAGTCATCGTCCAGCACGACAAAGCGAACCATGGCGAGCTCCGGCAGGTTGATCTGGAACTCGAAGCTCTCATCGAAAACTGGGTTGTCGCAGTTCTGGGAGACGGTCCTGGTGCGGCGCTCTGTGCAGTCGGCTGGAATGCCGTGGATCTCCACGTAAACGTAAGGGTCCACCACATCCCCTTTGGCCACAGAACCCCTCGGCTTGGGAAGATTCTGTCCGCTGATTACCTGGGAAGGGTGACCACATGGGCCGTTTTCAGAACATCATCGTGATTATTTGGTCAGCTAGCAAGGATTCTGTGGCGAGCTGGTGGGATGCCCCTCACACCTTGACATGGAGCAGCTGAGGTAACACCCCAGGCACGGTGTCTCTGGTGTCCGCACTGAAATAAGACACCTCCCGCCGCATGATGGCGGGCCGCAGAACGTAACCGCAATTTCCATTCTGCCGGAACCAGGCGGCGTTGAGGTCCATCATCAGCCCGGCTGTCTGGAAGTTCATAGACACAATCTGGCAACCGCATTTCCACAGGTCCTGAGGGTTTACGTTGCTGGAATCAATGCGCATGGGGCTCGGGTACACCCGTGACAGGAAGCGTTTGTTTTGGTTGACGAAGTCACCGGGGGTCTCGCCAGCGAGACGCCCGGCCTGGGTCTCATTAAAAGAGCACAACTGCCAAGGTTTTTGGCTTTTTCTTGATGTTGGGAAGTCGACAAAGTGGACCGACTCGCAAAGAGTGACCAGGTCCGAGAGCTCCTTCAGCAGATGGAATTGTTTGTGAGGAAGATGAGGAGGATTGCACTGGCTGGCAGCTGTTGAATTGAAGCTTCTCTGCTGTTTTTCTTTAGGACTGTCTTCAAGTCCTGCCCCACCATTGCTCGCCGCCTTCATCCTTGGACACATTTCAGCCCCTTCATCCTCCTCACTGACTTCACCCTCTTCCGCTTCCCAACCAGGCTCGAGCTTCTTCCCCTTCAGCAGGATCCGATGCCTTAAGTCTTGCGGCGAGGGGAGGTACGACTCCCTCTCGTCCGGGGGTTGCGTCGACAGCTGATCGCCGAGTATTCGCACCAGATGCTGCGTCATCACTTTCTGCTGTCTCAGCGAGCAGTGGTTCTCGATACACACAATCAACGGATACTCTGATGCAACAAAAGCAAACCGCGCAATTGCTTCCAACACGTTGCGCAGGGCGAGAGGAGGGCAAAGAGTATGTCCGGTACACACGACCGGCTCCTCATCGGGACCGTCCCATATGTCCACCTCCACGCATCGGCAGCCCATCTTGAGCGCCCGGATGTAGCCGGAAATGTCAGAGGGCCCTTTGTATTGGTCCTCGATGAGGTAGGTGTTGTGAGAGGAGTTGATAAAATAGTGCGACAAAGGCTGGGACATGTCCTGACACACAGTGTCGTGCTCCCTATCGAAGAGGTGGCACTCTGGCGACATCAAGTAGCTATTGAAGCCGTCCATCGACAGGTAGCCCTGCTGCTGGCCCTCTTCTGATGGCTCGTGGGACTGGATGAGACTCAGGCTGTCTTCCTCTGTCACCTGAGCGAGGGAGCAAGCGGACCTTAAGACAATGACAATGCCGGAATTGTGCTGAAGTGGATTCGTTTCCTGACCTGGGCAACGCCTTGCTCAGCCTCGAGGAACCTCGTCAGGTCTTGGACGTCCAAGAATTCCTTGTTGCTGGAGAACTGCACCAAGAGAAAGTAAATCTCCGGACGTGTGCAGAAGTCGTGAAAGACCTCGATGAACTCCCGCTGCGTGACCCTCTCGTTTCTTGCCCCGAGTGTTGGTTTGACTATGGTGAGGTCATTAGCTCCTGATCCATTATTAGGAGAAAGAGACTCGATCCGACCCCTCTGAAGCTCTTTAAATCTGTGCTCCACTTTTCCGTTGCTCACCCCTGGATTCACCGTCTGTATCAGTTTGACAGCGGACTGCAAACAAATCCCTTGCTCAATGTCCGTGTGACTATCCAAATCAGCAGCAGAGGCGAAAAGCTGCTCCAACCAGCCAAGACGAAGGCTGTGCTGTTTGCTGGCAAGCATGTCCAGGGCATTTTTACCGTACTGGATCAGATACCTGGAGATGGAGAACATTAAGTAGTCCAAAAAAATGAGAAAGAAATGCATTCTAAGAATTTATTGATAGACTTTCTTCGGATCTCATCCCAAAAAGTGACAGGATGAGCAAGGAATTACATTTTTGGACAAAGCTGTTGAACTCAACCCAAGTTAACTGTTGCCAAATGGAATATGAGATTTTAAAATATCCCTGTGACAAACGCTCCAATTTAGTTGGTTTTACCTTAGGCCCGTCACCCAAATATGAGCCACTTCTGTTGAGTGGGCCACAAGGTCCAGGCTCTCGTATAGCTCTCCATAGATGATCGAGAAAGCGCAGTCCTCCGAAATCTGCTCGTAGACTCCACTCGTGCGGAATACCTCCGTGTTACGACCTGTCCGCACCTGAAATACGAGGCCACAAAAACGATGCGCCCGCATTACATCACGATCAAAACAAAACGAACTGCAGCCAATGGTGTGGATCGGGGTTGGTCCAAAAGAATCAATGAAGTTCATCAGCGGGAGAGGCAATAACCGGCGAGACTTGATCTCCCATTTTCGTCTGGACGCTGACCTCTCGGATGGAGGCGAGCGCAATCCTGGCTTTGTCCGAATCCTTCTTGGAGGGCTCCCAACACAGAGCCTGCAGTCCCGCGTCAAGAAGGTAGTAGCGTTGGTACACGCGAGAGTTGGGACGCACCTTCTTCAATTCGCTCCCCTCCACCTGGCCACAAAACAAATGACTTTTACATTTTCGGCAGCCACGACGCCCTCGACTGCACACGCCGCAGGCCTCGGTTTCAGGTACGCATGCAAAAGGTCATATCGCGGCGAACCCACCATTGAGTGGATACAGTCGGTCGCACTACTGATCTTCTTCTCTGATAGGCTGCTGCTAAAGGACACGGTCTTCTTCCTCTCTCGACCCGCCCGGGAGCCATCCTGATGACGAAGGAAAAGCGCGGACTGAGAGCGTGATGGAGGTAAAGAGCGGCGTATAATATCCCGGGGGGGAAAAAATAGGTTGAAGGGGATTGACATCAAGACAATGATTCCCTCGGCGAAAGCCAAAGCATGAGAAAACACTTTTGCGGGAGATCAGAGAGGATTAAAATCATTTTATATCATGGTATATAAAGGCAGATTATTTAACCTACACACAGAGCCTCTTCCCAGCAATCTGTTGTTTTTTCTACCATGCTTAAAACGTCTTTGCCCTTGCTCTTCAACATGACACCATTAATCATAGGCCGAAGCAGCAGACTGCGGCATTCTAAATCTACACATTCGACATGACGCTGTTGTTCTCTCCGAGCTCAGTTTACCCGTGTGACACATTGAACGCTCCCCAGGGGGTGGGGTTT